ACAGTAAGTACAGTAATAGTAACTCGTGGCTATACCTCTTCTCGTCCCTTTGGCTTTAGCTTTTCCTCTCATCGGCGTCTCCATCCCCCATCTCATATACGTACGTCCTACCTTATATACTCTCCTTATATACTCCTCCTTTCATACGTCCCATCTCCTACCTTCTCGTGCCATCATTTTCGACACCCTGTCACCCTGTCAACCCAAAGCGTCATCACTATCTCCGTGGTGATCTACTGCTGGATCACTTGATCAGCCCAACAATATTTCAGTTGTCCCAGATTTAAAGACAGGCTTAATTAGGATCATGACACGATTAGGTGCGTTAGTTATGCTGAGAGGGTCTATGTCTCCCAGGGTACTGCAGGAACGTACCCTGGTACCAGAGCATAATTATAAATCAACGTGATTTATATGCTCTGCTGGTACTATATCTAATATGCCGGACTGTACCTCGCCTACTCCACTAACGAGTCTAGGGAGTCGCCTACGCCTACTCCCTAACCCTAACCCTATAACCTTAACCCTAACCGGTTACCCTAATCATATCAGATAGTTACCAGGGTACGTTCCGGTATCCCGGACCGTACCCAGGGTACGTTCCGGCAGTACACTGGGGGAAATAGACCCTATGAGCGTTAGTTATAGTTAGTTAGATCCTCCCCGCGCCTATATGGCGCATAGGGCGGTGCCTGCCTATATCTCCGTTTCAGTAACCCTGAGGCTCCGCAGCTACTTTCACAGTAAATGCTACAGTAGGGGGTTAGTCCACTGTAGCACTGCGAGTTAACTTGCCACACTCTATCTCTCTTTGCTGAATGCTAAGCAGAGAGCTTTTATAGTTGCCTTTATCGCTTTTTAGAGCTTTTATCTTTAGTTATAGGTGGTACATAAATCATAAGCATAATTCAATCTCGTACCTCAACCCTAACGGCCTAACTCTAACTTTAAATTTAACAGAATCTCATAGCCAAGCTTTACCGAGTAGCTAGCATAATCCCAACCTAATCCTTAAACCCTGCATTAAATTCCCGGGTGCTAGAGTAGCTGGGGTTGATCGCATATCATCTCACTGTTGAAGTAATGGGAATTGGAGACGAGGCATTATATCTTCGAGGCATTAACAAACTGACATTCTATCGTCAGATGTTTACACGTCTTATCCCTCACACACTCAACCACTATGTGGAGCCACTGACTGTTTGCTGTATGTTGTATAGATGCCGCTGTTTCATGACATCAGTAAAGGCGAGTTGAAGAGAGGCGACCACATTTACGTGTGGCGTACCGGCTACCATCACCATGGCATCTGGGACGGCAGAAAAGTCATCCACTTCAGTGGCGCAAAATCTGGCGACAAATCCAACGCGACAATACGCAGAGATGCCCTCGACGTATTCCTAGATGGTGGCAATCTTAAGATCTACCTTTACGGTATGAGCATGTGGGATATATGGTACGAGATCGCCGGCACGTCTACAACGCTGGAGAGCGACTCGCCGGATACGGTGATGGATCGAGCGGAGAGCCGGATCGGAGATGCCGATTACTACCTGTTTGGAAACAACTGCGAACATTTCGCGCTCTGGTGCAAGTTGGGAGAACGCGCCAAGAAAGTGCAAACGCAAACAACCCCAGCTAACTAGTTATAACGTGTTTTGTAACGTTTATATAACGTAAATGTGTAGGGTTTTTATAACGTTTTCTAAACGTTTGTAAAAACGTTTTTATTGTATTTGTAAACGTTAAACTTTAACGTGATCAGGTTACTGTCATCGTGACGTCATCATCAACGTCAGCAGGTACATTGCGCATGCGCGCCGGCAAGCGGACTGCCGCGTATTCTTCTATCATCGCTAGCAACTTGACCACAGAACTATAACAATATAGTGTTTATAGTTCAGTGAACTTGACACACATTTATCAAGTATTAGTAACTACAAGTGACAGTCCGTTTACCTATAGGTGGCATACATTAATAATCATGCGCAAATTGTTCACCGCGTTGCACTATTTTTTGTCTAGAAAAAGGCTTTCCTTTGAATTTTCGGTAAAATTAGGAACTAGATTGCAATACTTTGGCATGATGGCAGCAAGGTAGAAGCCCGTGCACGTCTAGAAAGCATTAAGTTAGATATTTTTTGTGGTGTAATATTCTGCGGTCGCGTCAAGTGGTGTAGCCATAGTGGCGGTTGACCATTCTGTATTTGAAAATTCTTAAAATCAAGGTGGCAAATGTTTTCGAGTGAAGATCGGTGTTTGAATCTGTAGTGATTTAACGTGAATAAAGTGAACGTCGAGTATGCGCCGAAACTCCTCTAAGTATTTTTAATTGATTCTGTTGATGCTTATTCAGCTTGCTGTCTATGACGCCCTCTACTGTTGCACAACACCTATATCACGTGCACACCTTATTGCCTAAACACCTGCAGCGACAACGACCAATTGTAACGTTCAGCGTCAAAGCTACAACGACTGACCCCAGCCCACACTGCAGGCGTTAGTGACTGACCCCAGCCACACTGCTGGCGTTAACGACTGACCCCAGCTACACTGCAGGCGTTACCGATTGACATCAGCTACACTGCAGACGTTAACGACTATCCCCAGCCACACTGCAGACGTTAGTGACTGACCCAGCTACACTGCAGACGTTAGTGACTGACCCCAGCTAACTACAGGCGTTAACGACTGACCCCAGCTACACTGCAGGCGTTAACGACTGAACCCGCAGCTACACTACAGGCGTTAACGACTGACCCCAGCTACACTGCGGGCGTTAACGTCTGACCCCGGCACACTGCAAGCATTAATAACTGATCCCAGCTACACTGCAAGCGTTAACGACTGACCCCAGCTACACACAGGCGTTAACGACTTACCCAGCTACACTGCAGGCGTTAACGACTGACCCAGCTACACTGCAGGCGTTAACGAGTGACCCCAGTCACACTGCAGACGTTAACGACTCTGCAACTCTCAACTCGCGTAGCCGTTTGTGGAACTTCTGCATACTGGCCGTCTATTTTGCACTCTTGTTGTTCTCTCATGTTACGCTCTCGTTGCTGGTAGCAACAACGCTGCAGTTACGAAGAAAACACACCTCTCCCACGTAGAGTTAAACAATTCTCCAATCAGGCGTCGCCAAGCGACTTGGGATCGTGTCAACTCTCTTTCCCAAAGGCAGCTTGCCTGGAGCGAAATAGTTTACTCTTCTCATCTCTACTCACTTCGCGCTCTCTCTCCTCTCTCTCTCTCTCTCTCTCTCTCTCTCTCTCTCTCTCGCGCGCGCTCTCTCTCTCTCTCTCTCTCTCTCTCTCTCTCTCTCTCTCTCTCTCTCTCTCTCTCTCTCTCTCTGGCCTCTGATTTGTTGACCCAGAGAGAATTCTCAGAACTCGGTAGCAGTTTGTGGAGGTCTTGCATACTGCCGTCTATTTGCATTCTAGCTGCTGGCCTTTACTGTTACTACGTATATAGCTGAAGGTTTTTTGCGGGGCCTATACATTTGTGAGAGTGGGAGTGGCACGCAGCGTATAGCTGTATTGACGCGCGTGCAATGCATGTCCGTTGGATTTATTGCCTTATCTTTACCACCGAAAAACATTATTTGATTATATATATATATATATATATATATATATATATATATATATATATATATATATATATATATATATTTATGTATATATAAGTTCAGCACGTTGCTAAAGACGCTCAATACAAAGTCCTGCACTTTCACGCGTTTACACAGTAGACTATATTGTCCAAGGTTGACAAGGACGATGATGATGTCGATGATGATGATGATAAAGATGATAACGATAATGAAGATAATGATGATGATGATGACGATGATGAAGATAATGATGATGATGATGATGATAATGACGACGATGATAATGACGATGACGATGGCAACGACGATGACGATGACGATGGTGATGACGATGATGATAATAATCCTGATGATGACGATGACGATGATGATGACAAATGATGATGATGATGATGATGACAAATGATGATGATGACGATGATGATTATGATGATCATAATGATGGTAAGCATGATCATCACGATCCTCTTATGGACCTATATAACGTCCATCGCTCGATCTCCGAGCTTACACCAGCGCGCAAAACTTTTGCTGTTAGCCGAGAACACATTGTAGTTGTATTCTCCTATCTTGCTCTCGGCGCGCCGCACGACAATGTCCGCCTCGTCGCTCTCCGTCGCCTCGGACGTGCCGGCGATCTCATACCATGTTGTCCGCCAGGGGGCGCCATATAGGAAGAGCTTGAGCGCTGCGTCGTGTAGAAATTCGTCCAGGCTGTCTCGGCTCACTTTCGCGCTGCGCGGCGGCAGATGAATGACCTTTGACCCGTCCCAGATGCCGTGCCGACTGTGAAGGGCGTGCCGCACGTAGATGTGGTCACCGCGCCGCAGCTCCTCTCGCGTGACGTCATGAAACAGCGGCATCTGCAGGAGATATATGGTACTAATCTACGCACCGCGTTTTAATCCGAAAATTCACCGCAAATGATTTGCGCGTGATCTCGCGACGTCCAATCAAATGCACGCACGCACGCACACACACACACACACACACACACACACACACACACACACACACACACACACACACACACACACACGCAACACAGGCAGGTAGTTAGCCCAACTTAGCCAGCTAGTCAGCTATAGTATTCGGTAGTATATATTCCATCTTACTCTATTCGGTATACACGCAGCTGTGACACGACTCACCGATATATCGATATCTTTAACGTACCTGTGATGCAGCAGATTCTACGGTAACTACGATGAGTGAGCGAGTTGTGTGTACTAGCGACTGCAGGACGAAACACTCGAGTGACGATTAGGATGCCTATACAGCTGATATAGCGGCTGGGTGCATGGTGAGCGCGGGGAAGTACGGTGCGCGTGCCAAAACCTCGCGCGGGGATAAGGAGAGATTGTGAAAACACACGAACGAATGCCACAGTTCCTCGTGCAGTCGGTGGAGAAAGTGGGCCAAACTTACTAGGGAACCGCATATCGCTAACACATTACATCCGGGTAGAGCCTGGGGTTCTTAACCTGTGGTCCATGGACCCCTTTGGGGTCCGGGGATGGACTTCAGGGGGCCCGTGAACCAGGCGCATGCAAAATTTTGTGTTTCTGTGCTTATGTGCATTTTTCTTGGGATGGGTCCGTAGCTTTCACCAGATTCTCAAAGGGGTCCATGACTAAAAAAAAGTTAAGAACCACTGGTGTAGCGTGTCTAGCTTCCGGACGACGCAGCGTAACACTGGCAGATAGACGTACCCACCACAGGCACTTGAAGCGTTTCAATAAAATATAATGCTAACTAAATACGAAATCTATATTATTAGTACAAAATTCTTAATGTTTCTATACTATACTAGCCAGGCCTACTCTCTTTCACCTACGGCTACACCGCCGATAGTTTCCAACCACTGCATTACCGGCTGTCATTGCTCTCCCAAACATTAAGAATTTTGTACTAATAATATAGATTTCGTATTTAGTTAGCATTATATTTTATTGAAACGTTTCAAGTGCCTGTGGTCACACCGGACGGCGACCATCCGCGACCATCCGCGACCA